TTAGCAGTAAGAAATCATCTACAAGATGTCATCTGTGATTATCATTTCTTAATCTGTCTAGTTTTTACTGATGTAATGTCAAAGACAACAGTAAACTCTGCAGTACTGAAAATATTTCAGTGATCTGTTGAGTAACGCTCTCCTCTAAGTTCAGAGTTTAGATTCTAGCTCTTCCCTTTGTTCTGCAAAATGCAATCGATGCCATAAGCCCACAATGCTCTTGACACCCCCACACATGCAGTACTGTACAGTGCAACATTTTTGGTTTAATTATGTAAGCCTGAGTCGACAGAAATAGACACACCGTCCAGATTGGTGAGCAATCCAGGACATACAAAAACAACACAGACAAATTTATTGTTGATGGTGCACATTATCGAGAGAATTACTACACTGCTGTTTATTGTGTATTTGCTGAGTCTGTTCACTCGTTGTATGCTACATGAGCAGTAACTATATAGGGGAGCAGTTTCTGCCTATCAAAGCCAAGTTAAATCAAACTTTCCAAGAAGATGCACCCAGGAACTTTCATCTGAACAATTCACTTGTAGCGCCATATCCGTCTGTCTTTATACATCGGTAACAGCAACCCATGTACAGTATTTGTTGGACATCATAAAGTACCCATAACCTTTGTGTGACTGATTTTGTGCATAAAGGGGAATCTAAAAGTGAAGGAATACAGTGTGTGTTTTTCAATATGGGAAGTCAGGCATCAACCAGGTTGTTCTTGAATATTATGTATGTAAGTATGAGTCAGTGACATTTACACACATTCACTCAAACACCAGTAACAAGGCTAACAACATAATTCTTTGTCCATTAAAAGGTAAGAAAAGTCATTGCACTGATAAAGCACAGGCTGTTATACTGAGATTAGTAACACAACAATAGATTACATGACAGAACTAAATTATATATGTCTGAAATAATAACTCAATTCTAGACATTGAAAAGGCTATTCTGTCAGTCATCTTAAACCACATTTTTCATCAACAAAAGATACTGACATTGATGCCAAGCACTTTTGTTGCTAGATTTAGCAACCTTTCAGACTGACCGGGCAACTTTATCTTTTAAAAGACACCTAGCAGCAAATTTAGCTACTTTTATGAGCTACTGTAATTCTTAAAACGCACACATTTCCCATCTAAATGACACAAAAATTATTTTCTCTGTCACACACTCAGTCAAAACACGCGATCTTTCTGCCCTGCTACAAAAGTGCATTGTGAGTGACGTCAGCATTAGCGACGGCTCAGCTCAATAGCCAGATACAGTCAGCACTACCTAGTTAGCATTAAGCTATATTGAACAGGCAACTTTAATGTGTCTGTTCATGTGTGGTTTCATCATAGGTTTTACTACATAAAATATAAAATATGATGATGTTTAAAAAAAAATGTGATCATAAAATGCATTGGGTTTATATTTAACAATAAAATAATAGCAACTTTCCCTGAAAATGTGTTGGCAACAGTGACATAAGTAAGTTAAGACATTCGGTAATAGATCTAACCAGCTCCTGGTCCTGTGTGTTTTAGAAAACTGTCACTGAATAATTGTCTTATGCTTTAACATCAAGTTTGTGCTGAAATTCAGCGTCACTTCACTTCTTTTTCATGACCATGCAGTTTCAGGCCAGTTGTATTGTTTTAAATGAGCAACATGGTGATTCCAATTCAGGTATTTCTTTTTTTTCTTCCAGGGATCACCACTGTCCTGACCATGACAACCATCAACACCCATTTAAGAGAGACTCTGCCCAAGATCCCCTACGTCAAAGCTATAGACATGTACCTGATGGGCTGCTTTGTGTTTGTCTTCCTGGCTCTGCTGGAATATGCCTTCGTCAACTACATCTTCTTTGGAAGAGGTCCTCAGATGCAGAAGAAGCTTGCTGAGAAGGCACAGAAGGCAAATGACCGGGAAAAATTTGATAGACCCAAGGTGAGAATCATTCCCAAACACCAGAGAATCAAGTCACACTTGTCATTTCGCAGGTTCAGTGGGCCACTGTGTTTTAAGAGCTGTAAGCAACATTTTAACTAACTGCACTAACTAAGCAAATCTTTATTCTCAGTGTTGTGCTCCCCCAGTGGTCATAAGTCACTGTGGATGACAGCAATGCAAAGTCAACCTTTTCTGCTGCAGTCAAGCAATTCTTTAAAGCCATGGAATACATGTCCATATCAATAGTATAATTATATAAATGATATTTAATTTTTGTCCTCAGCTTCAAATAGTATATTGCAATCATTCAGTCATAAGAAAATTAGCCTCTGTATTTTTAAACATGGAAAGGAAAATGATGGTTGGATTACAGATTTTTATTTATTTTCATCACATATCATGTGCATTTTGGTAAAAATGAAATCTCCCTTTGATCAAATTATTTCAACTTGACACTGAACTTGTCGGGTCCATACAGTCGAACAACTTGATTCTCCCATAGTCCTTTGTGAGACGTTTGTGCCAGCTGTGATTCTCTGCCTCCTGATTGTGGAGCTCAGCTAACACCTGACCAAAGCTCAGACAAAACAGGTTTCTGTTTGTGTTTCTCCTGGCTAGTCCATTCTGGAAGGAAGCAATTGCAAGTCTTCGTCTGTTAAACAGTCCAATCAGGTACAAGGGCGCCGTCACTCACGAGGGGTGAGTGTCTGTCACTGCCTGTTGTGTCACATCTGTGAAACTTCCACTGAAACTTTGCTGCTGCAGGGCAAAGTTTGACCTCCTCATTTAACAAAACAACATGCTTAATCTCAACAAGCCATTTCTGTCACAATCACCATCACATACTGTGCAATATATATTCCTCTTTACATTCCCTCTTCCTCTGTGGTATTTACCTTTGTATTGTCTCTATGTGTTTGTGGCCCTAACATCATGTACAGAAAAGGCAAACAAACCACTCCATAAGGAAGGATTTTAATCTTTGTTTTGTCTTTATTACATCATACAACATACACAACTAGTATGTCTATTAGTATTTGATAAACAAAGTCAAGGATTTGGCGATGTGTCATGATGTATGCACTGGGATAAAATATTTATGCCTGTTTGAAGGTCACAGGGGAAAAAAGCATCTTCTCTCCGTTTTTATTTGGCAGCAGTGTTGCTATTAAACCCCAAGCATTGCTCAGAGAATGTATGTATTTTAATAAATGTATATACATAAATATATGAATATCTTCCCCATTATTTAGAATAAAAATCAACTGTCTTACGTGAAAATATCTTAATCTGTGGGGGAAAGGAAGGTCATATTCCTGTTGCAGGTGTCTCAATGATAACAAAAGTTCCATATTTAAATAAACTAGTGCAGTGCCCGTTCACAGGGGCCAATGTGACACCTCCCTGCGCTTTTTAGATCAGAATGTGCGTCTCACGTTGGTTTCACCCACAGCATTAGTAACACTGAAACAAAACGACAAAATAGGTATAGGCCAGATATTCAGCGCGTCCTTAGAACATTACATTCTTACAACTCTGTTTCAACACATTCGGTACTAACGTATATCAAACCTGCGTGATGACAATCACTCCGTTTTCAACAATACACTACCACATCGGAGCATATAAGCCCGGCCCTGTGAGTGTTCCTCCCTCTTGCTGTGGTTTATTCAAATTTTAATAATTCCGAACGGGTCGTGAGTCCAGATTGACCAAATGCGACACTGCACAGCCTTGGGTCCACAGCAACACACCCACCACGAGTGATGTTCAAACACAGACTCACTCATAGATTCCTAAGATTCCTGCCTTTATTAGAGAGATGGGATATATAGCATGCTATAACATCAATACATCACTATATAGTGAAGCATTGTTTTTTCCATAAGCGTAATGAGGGAGTGTATTTCAGTTTAACTCAGTGTTACTTGTTGCGACCATTTCCAAAGCTGAACACTTCATGGACAGCTTTATGGATTCAAGTCGAAAATTGTGGTGAGGATTTTACCTGGTATAGGAAGTTGTCTATCTCTGTTAAAAAGTATGTGATAGAATACTGTTTATAAGTTTTGTGTCCAATGATGTGTAGGCCTGCAAATAATCAGTGAATAAGAATGAACTTGCGCAAGTTTTGACATCATACACATGATCAGGCAGGTCAGTGGTGCATCTCAAAGTGTTCATATTTTATAGACTGGTTTCTGTCATTAGTTTGCACTGACATTGACAGAGTAAGAAGATAAACATCACTGTGTCACCCCCTCTCACGTCTTGTAACCACATTGTTATATTGCTGTATACATCCTGTGCTTCTATTTTTGCCACATAGGTCTGAATGATTTATATGTCTTTGTGTGGGAAGCAATAGCTGTCATGACATTAGTATTAGAGCAATCCCGTACAACCTTGAGCTGATTTGTTTGAAGTGATTTAACTTTGGGACAGGAAACCTGGTTTTGAAGGCCGGCTCTCTGTTTCCCAGGCTGCAATCTGTCAGCCTGCTAGAAGACGCCGGCCCCGGGGCCTGACGCATGCTGCACATGTGTCATCAGTCAATGAAGCCTCAGCTCACAGCCCGTTTTTAACACCGCTCCTGTCTGTTGTGCCTAGGTGGACTCCCAGGGGAACATTTTGCTGACAACCTTGGAGATCCACAACGAGGTGGGAGGAAACGAGATCACAACCACTGTGAGCGAGACCCTCAACTCCACCTCCATGGTGTTCGACAACTCGGGCATCCAGTATAGGAAGGCGAGCGGGCCGCGCGAGTCGGGCCGCCTCAGCCTGGACAGGAGCGCACACCTTAAGAAAACCCGTCTGCGGAGACGATCCTCACAGCTCAAAATCAAAATCCCAGACCTCACTGATGTGAACGCTATTGACAGATTGTCACGGATAATATTCCCATTCAGCTTCTCTCTATTCAACTTAATCTACTGGCTTTACTACGTCAATTAATGCGCTGATGTTTTTTAAACCCACCTCTGTCTCATTTTTGATTTTCGAATGAGAGAAGACTTTGTTGTGAAAGGAACATATTATGGTCAAATCCTCATGAACTTTTTTTTTATCATAGCAAGTGCAGACTTTGATGACAAAACTATCACTCAGACAGTGTGCATCTGTTATATGCACAGACACAAGGGATTATCTACAGAACATGTATTTTACAAAGACTTGTGTGGACTGTAAATTACTCTCTGCTCTGACCCCTGTGAAGACCTGGGACACTGTATCTCAAGGGTAGAGCTACTGACTCTTTGCTGTGTTTACAGTACACTGCTTTAGGTCAGTTATTAAAACTGTACCCAGAATTTCAGTATAAGATGTGGTCACTGTAATACAACTTATTGCTAATGACAAAACAGCTGACAAAGACAAATATGAACAAATATGCTCATATAAACACAGGCCAAGCTCTGATCTGGACATTATATGCAATGAAACCAACTTAAAGGAATGTTTCAGTCTGTTGGGATATAAACATATTAGCTTTCTTGCCATGAGTTAGATGAGAGGACTGATCCCACTCTCATGTATGTACGCTAAATGTTGAGGCTATAGCCAGCAGCCAGTTAGCTAAGCTTAACAGCTATTTCCTAAAATCTCAAACTATTACTTTAATGTGCATTCAAGTCGAGTTATTAGCAAGAGAGAGACTAATGGAATCCATGCCAGCATTATATAAAGATGTCATTCTGTCATTCACTGCCATAATTTCAAGGAATTTGTTTGGGCCTTTTGGGAAGTATGCTTATTTACTTTCTTGCTGAGATTTAGATGAGAAGATCAATACCACTAAGTCAGTTATCTTAGCCTAGCATAAAGACTGGAAACAGCTAACCAGGCTATGTCCAGGTGAAAATGACCCTCCTACCAGCACATCTAACGCTCACTAATTAACACATTTAATCCCATTTGTTTAATCCATACATGAATAGACATGGAAAATTGACACTTTTACATGCTGTAACTATTTCTGCCGGACACAGACATTTCCACAACTTGCTGTTTTCGCATTTGTGTGTGTGTGTGTGTCTGGATTAAGGACGTTTGTTTTGTTTGTTGTTCGGACAGAATTAGCTAGCTGTTTCCTGTCTTTGCACTAAGCTAGCTCGACTGGCTGCTGCCTGTATCTTTATATTGAGCATACAGACGTAAGAGTGGTCCCAATTTTTTCATCTAGCTCTCGACAAGACAGAATGAGTATTTCCCAAAATATCTGTTCTTCTTTAACATTAAGAATTACCCATTTGCTATTGCTTTTCAGTATTCAAAAAGCATGCCATAAACCCAACAGCAATGTATGTGTCACATGACAGTAGAAAAAGGCTTTTACAGTAAACAATATCTGATCTGTTTACACTATTTCACTATTTTGTCATTGTGTTGTCAGCACTGTCACAATATTTTATTGATTTTGTGAAGCACGTATTCAATACAAATAGTTCACATGGCCTTTTTTTCCTTTCATACTGCATGTTGTATTGGGGACTGAGTGCAGACTCATTTCTGTAGACATCTCATGTTCAGATTTCTTAATTCTCCATGAAATGAAATGTACATACTGTGACTCTGCATATTTTCTTTCAGTTCACAATAATTACATGGCTTTATTGTCAACAGTGTTTTGCTCAGTGATTTCTGGCCTCGCTGTTTGGTTTTGTTAGTCTTTACACAACATTATCATTTCCTATTTGTGTGGTAAATATAAAACACAATGGTACAGCTTGTGATTATTTTCGTTCTTTCCTAAAGAAGTGAGTAGAGCACGTGAAATACTCTTAAGCTAAGACGGAATTAGGGGGTATATAGTATCTCTAAAACAACAACTGTTGGCAAACACAGCTCGCAACACGCCATCTGCACTGCTCGATTGAGCGTCTCGCAGCGCGTAGGAGTGACACCGCCTATCAGAAGTCCACTCAGCTCAACAGCACCCGGGTGCAGCCTCCTGACGGAGCGCAGATCAAACAAAAGCACTAATGTTCCGGGAGGGCTTGATATTTTGAATTTCTTGCATGTTCCTTTAAAATTGATGTTCAGTAGTGTGTGTTTGGTAATTACCAATCAGGACTTCACCTGCTGCTATTTGGCTTTGCTGTACTGGCTCTGCGGAAATCCACTTCTGCTGTGTCATATACAGATACAGATTTGACTTAACAAAGGCTTAATGGGTAACTAACTCCTTAAACCTCCTTCTATTTAGCATTTTTAAGCACTGAATAAACTATTAATACATTATTTATTATTATTATATTATTATTATTACACATTATAATGTAGTTGTAAGAAGATACAAGGACATTTGGAAGTGTTTATTAATGCATAGCTGTATAAAAAAACAGATAATGAATTGATAAATCATAGCTATATAATGACATATGAACAAATCCATAATTAACATTTATTGTTTATACACATGGACAGATCATTCACAGCCGTGTTTAGAACTATTTAGAAACGTGTTTGAGACTCATGAAGACGTGTTGAGCTTGGAGGTTTCATTCCTGACCTTGGAATTAGTTTTAAGCGATATATCTTAACAAAAAAAAATCTTCTACTGACAATCACTAATGAACTGTTTATACATTGGTTACTGATGAATCATGGGAGGCGTTATAGTTGCTGACATTATATAACAATTCCAGACAAAGAAATCTCCTTATCGACTCGACACTAAATTATAATGTGTTAAAAACAATTCATTGTTTTTGCTTATAAATACAAAATAAGAGGCGTGTTGAGAAAAAGATTTAAAAATGAAATGCCCCCACAAAGGATTTTGTTTGCCTTATTGGGATGGATTAAAGGATTTCTCGAAACTCTATTTGATAATAGCCAAAATTGAATAATCAATACTTCATCATGAGGCTGTTTTTAGGCACAGCGGTGCTTTGAGCTAAATGCTAGTGTGAGCATGCTAACATGCTCACAATAACAATGTTTACATGCTTATATTTAGCACATAAAATGTTTGCCATGTTGACAATCTTAGTTTAGTGTGTTAGCATGCTAACATCTACAAATGAGCACTAAATACAAAGTGCAGCAGAGGCTGATGATTATGTCACGTTTTCAGGTAGATCACCAAAGTCATTTGGATTCATTCTTTGTGGACCGTGATCGTCCGTCCAAAAATATTCCATTTTGTAGATGTTGGACTATTTCGCAGAATAATACTATGGCTGGTAAAACTGCACAAATTGTATGGCAATCTATCCAACAGATCTTGAGACATTTGACCTAAAATCACAAATGTAAACCACGTGGTTAAGCTAGAGGAAATTCGGTAGGATTCATCTTCTGGGGATCATGAATGTCTGTTAAATGTCATGGCAATCCATCCAATATTTGTTTCATAAATGTATTTCAGTGTGCACCAAAGCGGTGGACTGATCGACCTGCAGACCGACCTAGACTGCCAAAATCCACTTGGACTGGCTATAACATCTGAAATATACTTTACAACTCAAAAATATACTCAGAAATAAACCAGTTTGTTCCCACCTTTCTTATATATATTATGTAAATTTACTGTTATGGCATAATAAAGCAAAGCAATTTCCTCAGCAGTGGATACCATAAACCAGCCAGGAGAGGCCATTTTCTGTTGGGACCTTGTCAGCAGAAACGACATTGAAACAACCGTAACAGAGTTATGATTCCTGTTTTACTGTGTGTGTGTGTATCAACAGCAGTTAGGTCATGGCACAGCATCTCTCAAATGAGCAACGCTGGTAAAATTTTTCATAAGCAGCAACACAACTGTAACCGTGCCTTTACTCCTTCAGTCATCCCCATTCTTCTTTTATTCTCTCCGTCCTTTCTCTGTTGTATTATTTTTCAAAAGACGTGAGTGACTTGAATCTCATTTTGGTCACTACACTTGCTTGTTCCTTATCCCACTGTTCGTATATATTAATGTTGTAATGGGTGTAGTGTGGGATGAATGCATTGGAGGATTGGGCTGCGTGATAAACTGGAGCCGCAATAATTCAATTTGCAAAGTACAGCAGATTTATAGTGGCACACTTCAGATAAATGAAAAGCAAGTGTTTGTTCCGCTGTGTGCTGTACATTATGACGATGTGACACGTGAGCAGCAGTTAGGGCTGAAATTTTCTTTCACCATGAAACCTCCAGTCACCTGCACTCTCATTACATGGCTTTGTTCTAGTGACCGATGAGACTGATCAAGCCACTGGAACAGCTCTTGGATGAAATGACTAATAACTGTTTAATGAAAAAGGGCTACTGTATACAATAGCAGTCCCCTGTCTTTACTACAATATACAATCATGTTTTAGATAAAACTAACAAAGCAGCTCCATATAGAAAAGGTTTGGTGTGGAGGAATTGCACAGAGCCCTGAACTCAACCCCATCTATCACCTCTGGGATGAACTGGAATGCACGCTCTCACACACACACACACACACACACACACACACTTTTTGGACATGTGGTGTTTTCATTGCAGATCCGGTTCAGAGAACATTTATGTTACTTCACTGATTTATACTGTACAGTATAACGGAGTGCAACAAACTGTTCACCTTCTGAGAAATATAATTCATGCATTATAATTCAAATGTCAGAGAAAACTGTCATAGGAATGAATGTGTCTTTGCTCATGTGTGACGTGTACATATACAGTTTCTGAGTGATGAGTCAAAATAACAAAAATCAACTTCCACTACTGTCTACCATTAAGGATGATTTATTGTGCATCTACATATCAGAACAGCAACAGCAGGGAAATGCCTGGCAAAAAATTTACATGTTGACAATGCGCAGGAGCAAATATTAGCATGACACTTCAAGAGAAATTATTATGAACTCAGCACTGTAAAATAAAGCATAACCAAACAAATGTATACAGAATGCAAAAAATGCACTGCCATCATTAACAAAGGACTGCATGCTGCCAAACAAATCTATAAAGCTTTTGATTCAAACTGTGATTTTAAAGCACAGAACAAGCCATGAAAAACGCCAACCAACTACTGCACAGTGAAAATGAAACTGCAGTAAAGCAGGCACGCAGTGCCTTCAAAAAGTTTTTGGAGAAACTGTGCTTAAAATCCCTGAGGATGCTGGACTGTAAAGCCTCCTTGAACAACACTACCTTTAGGACTTGACGGTATAATTAGGGTTTTTACGGGGAAACTGTCAGAAGGGAGGATGAGAGAGTGTCACTCGGTAATTGTGATGTAAATCAGGGATCAGATGGTGGGAGGGTAGTGGGATAGAAATTGCTCCGCACGGTGGAGTTTAATGACTGAAATGAAAGTAAACAGTGAGGTATTTTTAACCATGAGCTTCTAAGAACATAATACTATAGATTAAGGAATAAGTGAGTTATTGTTAGAATTTAAAAAAGTATTTTTTCTTTGTGGTTCTCACCCCCATGTCTTCCAATTCTCTCCTAACGAATCAGGGCACGTCTGAGCAATAAAAGCAATAAAGAAGACAAGTCAGAGAGTTGATTGGGCTTCTCCAGTAACCTATGAGGAAGATAATTAGACAGATGCAATAATACATTTCTGGGTATAATGAGACAGACAGTTTGAAGATCTGTACTTTCACGCAGGATAATTAATCAAAATGAGTGACATTAAAACTGGAGCAACAACAGCTGCTGCCGTGTGAGTAATCCCCCAAGAGCAGGTGGACCAATAACCAGGAGGCAAGGTTGCAAACACAAATTGGATCTCCAGGTTCATCAGAGAAGCTCTTCATCACCAATGAAGTGTGAGCGCTCAACTAAGATGTATGATACTGATATCAGCGTCTGATACATTGCAGAGCATTCTTTTTTTTTAAAGAATGAAACCTGGGAAAAAATACATAATTTGCAATTAATAGTGTGTAAAATACTTTATGAGTTTACCTTAATGAAAAAATACTTTTCAAGCCTTCAAACACTTTTGACTTTGACTATTTATCAGTGTGAGAGCTGGGTAACATTTCACTTTAAGTTCCCCTATTTAGCATTAATTTGTGCTATCTAAACATTTAATAAACACACTTTAATGTAGTTGTAAGCAGATACAATTGTGCATTAATGTATGGGCATCCAAAAGTAGAGGCTGGTGCATGATGAATGACAATATTGTAAAGTTCTAATCATACAAAATATGTCAGCAGGAAATTTCATAGTTGCTGACAAATACAGTACTGCATGGAGAAACACTTAAAAATGTCCCGACACTCAATCCTACGTTTCACATGCTGCATCATGGGGAATGTAAGACCCAGTATTTCTGGCGCTTGAACCATACTAGTGACCAATACTCAGAATATATTTAGATTTTTTTACCTTCCTTTATTTTCTGTTTTGATCTGTCAGTTGCAAGTCCCACAACTATAAGTGCATCATTTAATCACAGGAGTGGTCCTTTAAAGTATTCTCATGTGGTAGAAACAGCAAGGTAAAGCAAAGCAATGCAAGCTGTTTTTATTTATAAAAGATGTCCAATCATCGTTTAAAAAATTACAAATAAAGCTAAAATTTCACTTTGACTTTTTATTTCACAGCTTTTTTTAAACCTCTTTTATTTTATGCAAATGACCAATCCAGATTTGTAGCCCCGCCCTCTTGACAACAGGAACACCATTAAGCTGACAGGAGAATAAACTATTCAGACAAATGTACAGCACATTCACAGCATCACTGCCATGCTGGTTACAGCCTCCACCTGAACTCATCACTTTTATTAGC